TTACGATATAATGACCATAGTGAAGCATTGTTCAACATTTTTAGCTCTCCTGTGAATCTTGTCTCGCCGACGCATTAACATTCTAATCCTGGAAGACATCCAAGGTTTGTCTCTCGGTCTTACAGTAATGTTCTTATGGGGAACACACTTACTTTTAGCTAGGAGGATAAGATCAACCAGCTTGTAACATGCATCATCAACGCTAGAACAATAGTAAATGTCATTCCACTCAGTGTTGGACGAAAAAGTAGCTAATAATTCATGATCAACTTTGGGGTAGTCCCAGATAGTTCGAACATACGGACGTGGGTACTTTAGTGAACAAGTTAAATCTAGTAATAATGGGACAATGGTGGCATCCTGAAAGAGGAGACAAAACAGAGGTGCATTTAACAAGGGATTTCCTATCAGTAAAAAGTAAATCAATTAGAGAGGGGGAGCGTGACAAATCGCATGTCGGCTCGCTAATCACCTGCGTAAGGTTTAACATAGTTGAAGCCTGGTAAAGTTTTAAGCCGACTGGGGTAATAGGATCGAGGGCCCACCAAGCATTATGCTTGGCATTGAAATCACCTGTAATTATAAGAGCGTCATGGTTGGATGACCCAACTGCAAAGACCGAGTCGGTAAATGAGTCAATAAATTCAGTGGCAGTACTCGAGTCCTGGCCGGGTGGACGATAATAAACAGAAAATATAATACGGGAACATCCCGCAAAGAGTTCGAGCCAGATACACTCAACAGATTTTGGCTCCAGATCTAGTCGTCTCCGGTATGCAATTTGGTCAGATACATAAATCAGGACGCCTCCACCGTGTCGGTTTCTGTCTCTTCTAATCGGAGCCTGAAAACCCTCAAGGCAAGGGCCGCTGAGTCAACAGAGTCCCCCAACCACGTTTCGGAGATAGCCACAACATCAAGTTTAAATCTAACTACAAGATCGGACAATTCATCCAATTTCGTACCAGCTACCAGGCTGTTGACATTAATATGCATAAAATTAACATCTTTGCGGAACGAAGGCCCCGGATTGGGATGGATGTCTCCCGCTAGTAATAATACAATGAAAGAGATACAAACTAAGACATATGACAAACTCATACTTAGGTTGAGAGCAATCTTAACGCTAAACTTGCAAGTAGTGTATACGCCGACAGAAAACATGCCAATGACTGCCCTATATTGGTCAGTGTCTATTGGCATAATTTAACGCACCTGCTCAGCAATTTACATATAACCGTTGACCCATATCCATAAATAATTGTGGTAGCCATACCCATTGCTGTGTACATAAATTGACATATAAACACATAACAACAATAAGGATACATATAAAATGAGTACGACATTGCAGATGGTGAATGCCAAGAAATAAGGTAGTTCCAGTGCTGCATAATAAGATAACGCCGAGGCACGGGACAAATGGATTCATCGCTCTTACATATTATTTAAATAAGGATTCCAAGACTAGTGGAGTGATTTCAGCCAGTCCCACGTATAACATCTGTCTGTCATGGGAATTAACGAGATTACATACAGATGAATACTTTACGTTTGCTAGACTGGTGGAGAGACATTCCACATCACATAGGGGGAGATTCAGTAATGACTAAGTAATGCTCTCGCACCTGGAGCAAACATATGAAAAGAATTCTCGCAATAACTAGAGCAGAAAAACAACAGAAGACATCAATAAATAAAAATTCGGAATGTAGCAAAAATAAGGTAGGTATCATCCACATATGCTCATAAGAGTAGTGGTCGGTGCTACATGTACAAATAAGTATAGAATAAGTTACTCAGAACTTTTAAATGGATCAAGATCAGAGAAGACGCACAACATTTTCCTCTCACCATTGAGAGACCTAACAAAGATCTTGCATCGTAGGTCCAAGCTTGGGATAGACGTTTGTCCTTCACGAGTAGCCGAGCCTCTTTGAATAGTTGCAGGTTGCCGGTTGTCAAGTTGTCGTCGATGTATATGTTGTCCTTTTAATACTCAAGTTGGCTTTACTGGTGGGCTTGGATTTTGCACGCATCAGACTTGCCTTACATCGATAGGAGCAAAGTTTCACGATGACTGGTCGAGGTTTTCCATCGGAACGTGGTTTACCAAGACGATGACATCTGTCGATGTCCTGGAGAGAGATGGGTGGATCACAGCCCAGCGTATTGTTTACCACGGTCAGGACAGCGTCATCCGTTGATTTTTCACCAGGTGGCTCAGGAATGCCGGTTATGGTGACACAATTACGGCGTGAATATTGCTCCAAATCATTGA